TCAAAAAGAGGGCGTTCAACACTCATCCGTAGTACTCACCGGATTTTCTCGTCCAGGCGTCTTTCAGGGCCGAAGTCAGGCCCTTAACTGACCCCCTTGTTTTAGGCTTCCCCAATATCTGCCCCGAAGCCCACCATCAACCCCTGAGACCCTGCACCAAAAACTTCAATTTTTTTTTTTTTTTTTTTTTAATTCGCGCGAACCCGCTTGCGACCTTCGTTCTCCTGGTTGCCCCGGCTCATCAAAGGTTAGTATGTAAGTCAAAGAACCCAGGCTCCCTGACAAGCCCCACAAGCAGAGACGTTCACCACGCCAAAAACAAGCAACCAAGCCCAACTCCTTTCCCTCTTTTCCTTTGTAGWGGCGTTCGGCTGGTAGGCAGCCGCCGGACAGCTAGCCCACACCCCATTTCTCGTCGTCCCCGGCGAGCTTTCTCGTAGCCCCCTTAGCCCCCTTTTCCGAAACCCAATGGTCCCTTTTTTCTTGCCCTGGCACACCCCTTTCTGCATATTTGCTTTCCCACGGTTTGCATTAACACCCTTATGGGATTGCGTCTTCCCCCTTCTTCCCCTTGTGGATTAGTTTCCTTCTCCTGGAACTTAACTTTTCTTGCCTAATTATGATACAGTCCCCTTTAGTTTCTCCCCTTTTGGAATTTTTATACTTGTTTTTCTCCCAGTTATGGTAGAGTTCTTTTTAGTCTTCCCCCCTTCCCTTAGTCTTCCTTCTTTCGGAACTATGATACATGCCTTCCTTAACTAATGTACAACCTCCCTTCTTTTCCCCAAGAACTCTATACCCTTCTCCGTCTCCTCATTTTCTTCTCTCGCCTCTCTCTCTTACGTTTCCTCTCTTCTCTCTCGCGTTTGACTCTCAAGGCTTTCCTCGAAGCGCTCCTCCTTTCTCTCAACCTGCGTTTTCCTAACTGGTCGGTATCACCGTCATCTTCCCTTGGTCGTTTCTTCCTCCCGGGGGTCTTTGGCGGGGGAGGTTTTCGAACCTTATATCCTTTCTTCGGTGGTCGCGAAGAGGCCCCTTGTTTCAAAGTCTCTCCCTTTTTGTAGGTGATAGTTACCTTTGTGTCGACCGTTTCCTTCCCTTTCCTTTTCGGAACCCCTCCAAAGGCCCCTCTCCATCAGAAAAGTTTGAGGCGAGCCCCTGCGATCGGGTCCCGTAACCTGGTTCCGTCTAATTCGACAAGGAGATATGCCCCCCCATCCAATATTTTTAGGACCCGGTACGGCCCCATCCACCGGTTAGCTAGTTTTCGGCTCCAAGTCTTTTCTAGCGACGAGTCGTACATTAGGACAAGGTCGCTAGTCCCTATCGGTGTTTGACAGACCCGCAGATTTTTGTCCCACCTTTCTTTCCCTTTTACCCTCTCCTTCTCAACGTTCTTCCCCATCTCGGCAAGTCCGGCGTCCAAATCTCGGCTATTTGTTGTATCCTTGCTTCCAACAGTTCACTTCTTGTCATGTTGGTTTTCCACGAGACACTCGTCCAAGTGTCGACGTGGAACTCGACGGGCAGGGGACAATGCCTACCGAACCAAAGGGTGTAGGGCGGATACCCCGTACTTGATTTGACCGTGATGTTGTCTGCCCAAATTGCGTAGCGCAAATACTTCGGCCACTGTTCCGCACGTCCTTTGCACCATTTTGCTAAGGCGCCTACAAGCGTTTGGTGACCTCTTTCGACTGGGGCGTTGCTTTTTGGGTGATAGGCGGTTGTGTAGGCCGCCTTAATCCCTGCCTTCTCCAATATCACCTTGACCTTTTGACTTAGGAATTCGGCACCCCCATCCATTACTATCTTCCCGACACACTCGTACCTAGCGATGTATTCCAAGAGAAAATCGCTCACCTCTTCGATCTTCTTCTTCTTAATGGCCCTTGCCTCTACGAACCCAGTGAGGTCATCGCGGGCATTGATGATGTATCGGAGCCCGCCGACTCCTTTAGGCATGGTCACTAAGTCAATGTGGACCTTTTCGCCTGGGACTGTGGGAAGCGATGGAACTAGGGGTTCCTTGTAGCGAACGGTCATCCACTTTTGGCAAGCCTCACATGTCGAGCAATACTTCTCGACTTCTCCGTACTGCCCGTCCCACCAATAGAGCCTACAGATTTTATCAAACGTGCCTTTTACCCCTCTATGTCCTTTAACGACCCCATCGTGCAACTCTTCTATGACCGCTTTCCTTTCCTCCGGATCGCAAAGCACCCTCATGGGGATCGCAAACTTGGTAGGCCTCTTGAAGAGGTGCCCTCCTCGTAGGCAATACCCGAGCGCTTCCTTCTTAATCACCTCGATGCCTTCTTCCCTTCCTGCTAGGTAAAGTCCTATGTCGCGGTACTTCCCGTCGTAAAGGTTAGCGAGGAACGTCCTAGGGCCTTCGCCTTCCTCTCAGATGGGTACTTCTGTTTGCGCCCTGTTAGCGGCGACTTGGATTACCTCATTCTTGGTCATCGTTCGCGTAGCCTCCTTCAATTTTGGATAATCCTCCTCTCGGATGGGAAGCTTGGGCAAGCCGTCCGCGACTTGATTTTTGGCCCCGGAGATCCTCTCGACCCTATAATTGTAGAGCCTGATATGGATCATCCACCTAGCGATAGTCGGATCGGTTAGAGAGAAGTCCTTTTGAAGGACAGCAGCCACCGCGGTTGGGTCCACTCTAAGAAGGAACCGCCTCCCGTAGATGTAGTGCATAAGGTTTTTAGGCAGTGGCGGAAGGTTTTTAGGCAGTGCAATACCCCCAACACTTCTTTCTTGAACTGGCTATAGTTCCTTTCGGTTGGATTCAAGGCCCGACTCTCAAATCGGAGGGGTCTCTCTTTCCTATTTTGATCCTTTTGCGACAGAAGCCCTCCTACCGAACAAGGCCCCGCGTCCGTGGTAACTATGAAGGGGCGGTTATCCTCGTCCTCGAGGAAGGGAACTCCTAAGACCTGCCCACCTTCGCGGAATTCCTCTTTAAGGGTTGCCATGGCCGCGACCTGCTCCTCTCCCCAGACCCATCCCTGAGCTTTCCTAAGGAGCTGTCTAAGGGGCTCAACCTTCTCACTGTAGGCCTTTATAAAGATCCTCCAGTAGCCCACCACCCCTAGAAACTGCCTTACCTCCGTGATTGACTTTAGTGGCGACGGCCAGGTCATCAATTTCTCTAGTTTTGCGGGATCGGGCCTCCACCCATCCTTATCACAGACGAAGCTCAATATTTTGATCGACGACACTCCCCAACGGCTCTTTGTCCCACTCACAGTAAGGTTGGCGTCATCTAATTTCGCAAGGACCTTCCCGACGTCCTCCATATGGTCCACTACGAACTTCCTTACCCCAGGGAAGACCTCCGTCTCGTCCCGTTCAACAGACCCTTTTATCGGGAAGTCATCAAGGAAGATCTCACATTTTCCGGTATGAATTCTTTGAGGACCGCGATCATGGCTCTTTGGAATACCGCGACGCCGTTCGTCCACCCCATCGGTACCACCATCATTTGGACCAGCCCTAGAGGCGTGTGCATAGCGGTCATGTGTCTATCTCGGTAGTCGAAGGGGATCTCATCATAGCCCGAAAAGAGATCGCAGATCGAGTAGATCGAGCGACCTGCCGACCCTTCCGCAAGTAGATCAGCCTCAGGTATGGACCCCACGTCCCTTACAGTGACCCCGTTGGTCCTTTGGAGGTTTTGAATCCACCTCAATTTGTTGCTACCTCCTTTTCTAAGAAAGAACCATTTGTTGGAGTAGGCATTTTCACAAGGTTCTGCGACGAACGTCCTTATCTTTTCTTTGATGAAGGCCACTATCTCCTCCTTCTCCTTTTGAGCATACTTCCACTGGGGTCTATCTTTCCAAGGTACATGAGGGATCGTATGGATCCGGACGGGCTTAGCGTACCTCGGGTCGATTCTCCCTCTCTCCGAGTCATCGAAGGCTATGGCCTTATCGCAGCCCCTTAGGGTCATCGCTACGTACTCCTTCTCTTCGTCCGTGAGGTTCCCATCCCCTGTATCCATTTTTGCCAACCTATCGGCCGTAATTCTCTGTCCCTCGGTCTCCTTCCTTTTTCGGATGATATCGGCGATTTCCTCCTCCGATATCGAAGTTTCCCCCGTTCTATCCCGGTTGACCGCAGCGGGTTTCACTTTCTCCGCCACGGTTTTATGCTTCTTGACTCCGCCGGCTAGGGGGATTCCTCCAAAAAAGACAGCCTTACGTATCCACCGAACTCTTCCTCGTCCTCTTTCTCGTATCCTACCCCATTGATCACAACCCAGCCCCCGATATCCTTGACATCTATCCGGTCCCTCGAGGGTTCCTTATCAGTAAAGGGTGGTTCTTCTAGACGGACTTGGCACACCCTTGACTGGGCTTCTTTCGCCTTGGAATACTGGTCCGGTTTCGCTCATCTTGAGCGTCCACAGTTTTTAGGACCACTCGGATCCCATCCGGACTCTGGATCGAGAGAGTCTGACTCCCGTCCGGAAGGTCAACCGTGGTAGCGTGGACCGCGCTCAGCCAGGTTCTCCCGAGGATCAACTCGGAGGAACACTCCTTTACCGAGAATATCGGGACCGTGGCTTCGACGCCGGCGACCTCGATCATGGGGTTATGACACACCCCCTCTGCCGACTGCAGCTTGTTATCCGCAACTACCATCGACATGGACACCCCTCTATCTACTTCCAAACCTAACTCCCTGGCAATGGAGTCTGTACACACCGTGGATTCGGACCCGTTATCCACCAGAGCCCTCATCTTCTTTCCACTCACCACTGCTTGGAGTTGGCCGCTCCCTAATACATAGAACCTTTTGGCCTCCTCTTCCGAGAAGAAATTCGCCGGCAGTTCCTCCATAGTGATCCGGGAGGACTGCACTTCTTCTTTGGCTGGTCCATCCCCAGGAACCGTGGCCCCCCCAGCGAGCGGAATTCTCACTTTCCTTGTGATGCTTAGGAGCTCATCTCTAGCGCTCTTGCTGGCTGCTAAGCACTCCAAAATGGTGCATTGCATAGGCTGCATTAGGGTCCTCCGTAGGGGAGCTACCGTGTCTATTTCGTCCAAGGTGCATTTCATCTCGAACTTTTTCGCCCCCTTTTTCCTAGGCGACTTAGGTGAAGTGGGTTCTTCCCCCTTCCTCTCTTCCATGCCTTTGGCGTCGACCATCGGTTGGTCGTCGTTGCCGCTCCTTCTCCCTGCACCCTCCGTCGCGCTTTCCTTGCCTTTAGATGGCCCGACCCCAACTTGGGTCCTTACCCTTAGGCAAGGCCCTTCCTCTTCGAGCTGGGTCTCAACGAACTTGATGCTCGACACCTGGGGCTCCCTTATGGACGCGCCTCCTGGTGGTTCTGTCATTTGGACATGGGATGAGTTGGAAGTGCTCCCAACCTCGGACTTCTTCCCCAATCTTGCCTCCTACAGGGCCATCCTCTTGTCCACATTGACCTTCATCGAGGGATAGAAGGAGACTGCTTCCCCATCGTCCCCCCAAACCACCCACCTGTTCTCGTTTAATTTTACCACCCCCAACCTTAGGGCTTCCGTAAGGTAAGGGCACTCTCGCTTGATGTGACCCTCCTCATTGCAATAGACACACCCGCTTCGAGGCAGCGGGTTGTTAGGGCGTGGAGCGACCTGAGGAGGCGCTCCCGTTGTCGCGGGAGGCGGTGGCGTTCTAGCCTGACTTACCTCTGGTCGAGCTCCCACGGCCCTAGGTGGAGGAGGGTCTCCCCATCTTCCGTCCCTCGCATCCTTCCAGCGGGAATTTCCCCATTCCGAGACCCGATTCCCTCCGGCCTCTCGATCGTTCCTCCAATTCCCTTGGTTGCCGGGTTCGTTCCGCCAACCCGGGGGCCCTCCTCCCCAGCGTTGGGCGGGAGGCCCAGGGGGCTGTCTTTCGTTCCCGGGGGGACCGTCGCCCTTTTGGGAGCGCATACTCCGGAGTGCCATGTCCAGACTCTCCTTCATATACTCCCATACGCCCACCCCTCCTCCCGTGAAGACCACTTCGGCGACTCTTTCGAAGTTAGCAGAGTCCCTAGGGGCCTTTTCGAGGACCTCCCTCCTCTTCTCCTCAGGCAGGTGCAACATGAACATTACGCACCTGTCGACTTCCGAAAGCATCCCTCTATCCACCAAGGCCTGCGATAAACGTTTGAACCTCCGAGTAAAGGCCACCAGGCTTTCTTGCTCTTCTCTTATCACCCGTTGCAGCCCTTCTATCGTGGGGATCATATCGTCACACGCAAAGATCCTCAATAGGCTGCTCTTGAAGGTCTTCCACCTTCCATCAGACGGGTACACGGCCCTAATGGCCTGGTTCAGCTCTGGGTCCGAATGTTGTATAAAGTGGTCGATCCACTCTTTCTCCGAAAACTTCTTTCGGTAGGCGTAACGCTCCCATTTCTCCACAAACCCGGTCACGTTCTTCCCGTTAAAATAGAGCGACTCTAGCCCCAGATTCACATCGTAATAAGCGACTCGGCGATTGTCATATCGACGGAAATAAGGCCCTTCGGCCGGCCCATCTATCGTTGGATCGTAAGGCTTGTACCAGGAAGGGTCCAAATCCTCCATCCGAGGTCGAGCTCTCGGAGGTCGCCATGATTCCTCCTCCCGGCGACCTCTATAACCCGGGTTTTCGCGTTCCCAGTGCATGAACTCCGGGCCCCGAGCCCCTCTCCAGATGTCTCCCATATTCCTTCCTACCGCCTCTTCTTGCATCCATGCGGGACCAGTCTCCCTGCCGGCCCATCTTCGCGTTACTCCCCCAATTTCGATTGGTCGTCCTTCCCCAGGTTCCCTCCTTCTTAGGCCACCTTCCTTGCTTGTCCTTGGTGCCCAGCACCCCGCCCTGTCACGAGGGCACTCCTAGCCTTCGCCGATTCTTTCTTCCGTGTCCACGTGGTCCGCCCATCGGGTTTCGACTGGGAAGCCCCTTGTGGCGTCAACCACCCTTTCTCTTAGAGGCACACGCGGTTCCATCTCTCGGTGCAAACGCTCATCTGAGCTCACACGTGGTTCCGTAGCTTTTTCTCCGAGGGGTTCTTCCAGGTTCCTTAAGGCCCTACCCATGGTTTATACCCCTTCGGTCACTCCTTCGGCTGACTTGCTCAATCTTGCCCCCAATTCGGTATCGTCCTCGGTTCCTCCTCACTAGTCACAGTCCACTTCGTAAGCTGCTAGCGCAAGGTTGGCAATCTCCAGATCCGAGACACCCCTAATCCCTTCCTGCGAGCACCGCCTAATCAGGCCTCTATCTACTTCTCCGGCCTGTCCCGAGAATAGGGGCTTGATGAAATCGCCGACCAAAGCCCACCACTCAAAGTCTGTAAGCTCTAGGGACACCCAACACAGGGTGAACAACTCGTTCCCCTTCGCTTCACCTAAGGGAAATTTTTCGATTATCGGTCCCCTATTTTGAACTTTCCTTACTGTGGCGTCGTCGGGGTAGAGCAAACGGTAGACCCAGGCAGGGACTTCCTAGGTCCGGTTATGGGCCGCCTGAGGGATTTCCAACCGCCCTCGGTATTCAACCTGCCCTTCCCGCTACTCCCCCTCTCAACCTTCTAAGTCGGTCTTGGGTTCTCTCTGCGATACCCAGAGGGTCCTTTCCTTCCGCCAACTCGGTAGCAAAGAACTGTCTATCGTCGTGAGACAAGAAGATCTCAGCTCTTCGCGTGTGGGTATCCTCTCTTGAAACTATTGAGAAACAGACTAGTGTTTCTTGTCCGTATATTTCGAAGAATTCCGTAGTGTCCTCCCCTTCTTCTTCAACCTTGGGGAGGGTCACTCCATACCTAGATTCTGACTTCCAAGCCCTTTCCAAGGTCCCGATATGGTCCCCCCTATCGTATCTGATCATTGGCCGGCTCACCTTACCCGAGCTAACCTCTCCACCGCCTCGACTAGCGAATCCTCACACCTCTCTCGAGAGCTCTCCCCTCGATCGAGTATCGTCCGACGCAAGGCTTTCTCGTACTCCCCTGTCCTATCCTAGAAACGCGCCTCCACCAGGTGCATTCTGGCTTCGAAGGGATTTCCAAGCCACCTTGAGTCCTCTTTAAACCTTCTCTCGACCTCTGTCAAAGGCTCTCTCCAAGTTCTAGAGAACCGGGTTCCCCTCGCCTCTCTAATAAAGACCGAAAACCTAGCTAAGGTGGTCCAGGACCTTCTTTTCCACAAGGCCTGTCGGCGGACCTCGACGAGGAAACTCTTCTCGGCTTTTGCCACTCGCTCCTCTCCAAGGCCTGGGCTAAGCTCCGCCCCCCCTTCTACTTCGACCTTGGGGCCGTCGTCCCTTGTTTCCAACTCCCAGGTTATCGAGTTGGAGGTGTAGGTAGCTCTCATGCCTAGCTTCCCCCCGAGAGTAGATCCTCTTTCAAATCGTCTACTATCTTCACCGTGGCCGCTTCTAGTAACTTGATCCTTCGCAAAGACCCTGGTCTCGCCCTTCTTTCCCCCTCCCAGCAAAGGGTCAGGATTCTATATAGCTCCGCCCTAACCCTCTCTAGACCCACCAGTTCATTGGTGTCGGGCTCACTCATGCCTCAAGTTTCTTCGTCGGCATGCTATCGCTATCCGTATGAGATCCGAGGGGTCTAATCCTTCCAACCCCACCTCACAGATCTTCCCCAAGTACCGCCAAGAGATGGTCGACGCCCTCACGTGTTGGCCCCAACCTTCGAAGGAGTAGCCTAGGCCCTCTAACGACGACCAACTATCCCCGTACGGGCTTTGCAGGCACCATGTTAGTAGGGAGTGCAAGTCCGACCTTGTGAACCGGAATTGGTTCAGGATCGAGATCCTACGTTCCACTGCCTTTCTGACCGTTTCTGAGGGGTAAACTCGCTCAAGGATAAATCGAAGGACTCTGACGGGGTCACTGTCGAAAAACAGGGGCACTTCTTCCCCGCCCGCGTGGGTCACTCGGTAGATCCTATGGTACCCCTCTCGAGGGCTTGCCTCTTTCACAAGCCTCTCTAGATGGTCTTGCGTCGCCCGCGCGTCTATGAGCGGATCCTCCCCCAACTTCAAGCTGCAGACTACCTCCAGGAGGCCCTTCTTAGAAAGGAACACCTTGGCCTCTCCGATCACCAACCCCTCTCCGGTGCTCACTGTCAACCGAACGAATGCTTTCCCTCGGCGGATCTCGACTACTTCCCTTTGAATGGCCCTCGTCGGATTCCTTAGACTTTCCTTGGGCAACGAGATGTGGACAACCTCCCCTTCCCCTCTCACAGGCTCTATTGAGGCCCAAAGAGTCCCGGGAACCCCTCTTATCATCGAGCTTCGTATCCTCGCCGGTTAGCCACCTGTGCTTGCCCGAAGAGGCGGTCGTACGGGACGTCAGCTCGGACCCCCTCAAACTCTCTCAACCTTTCAAATATAGGGGGTAACTCTTCCATAGGGGGGGCCCCAGCGTCCACACACCGCGTGTAGAGCCAGAACAGCCCTCTCGTCCGCACTCCGGATTCCTGAGCAGCTCGGAGTACAACCACCACTCCCTCTTCCGGGTCTCGTAAGAATGAGCGTGTCAGGAATTGGGGCAGGTCCGCGTGGAGCACTCTGGACGCACGAGGAACCTCGCCTGGCTCTGCGAAGGACACCTGTGTCCACGACTCGAAGGTCCCCTCCTCGTAATCACCCAGTACCAGATTGTTCGCTACCAGCCTCGCGGATTCACGGTACTCCGTATGGGTCTCTCGGCCGGTTACTAAACCCCTCCAAATTTCGGTCCACGTGTCCTCGTCGAGGAAAATTGTAGCCCGAATCTCTAGGAACCGACCGAGGTCAGGCGGACCTCCTCTTTGCACTCCTTTCCAGGTAAGCCTGCGAGCTCGAACCCACACGTAGGCGCCTTTCCGGATGACTCCTCCTTTCTCAACACTCATCCAGTAGGGCGTCACGCGAGGGTCCCCTGGGATCAAGACTTTTCCCGCGTCACCGGCTTCTATCGCCTCTACCACTCCGTTCTCGCTGAGCACAAACCTCACCATCTACAGGTGCCGCTTTGAAAACCCGCTTGCGGTATCTCTCCGGCGAGAGGGTAAAGGGTTTTTCCAGGGACCCTAATCTCCTAAGAATACCCCAGAGTTTCCTTCGTGGAGGGATTCCCTGATCGATACAATGCGTGTACAGTGTCCACAGGGCCCCAAATGGTAATCCTAAACTCCTTCCTCTTTCTAGGAGTTTCACCACTCTTCCCTCGTTCGTGCCTGAGAACACAAAGTTCAGGACCCACGCGCTCACAGGGTAACTTGCCCTTGGGAGTTCGCCTGCCCTAGCGAACCTCGCCGCCTCTATCGCCACAAACCCCAACTCTTTTCGGATCCTATCTATCCACCTCCTTCTGATTGCTCTAGCCTCTCCGATTAATAAGTCCAGCCCACCCACCCCCTTGGCCCAAGACCAGGGGTACAATAACCTTCGACCAAGCCCCCGGCTTGACGAAGATTATCGAGGTGACTTTGAGATGTATCTCAGTCGTTCTCCCTTCCGCCTCTTCCGACTCTACCCACACGAAATTTTCTCCGGCCGTAATCTCCCCTCCCTCTAATCTTCTCCAATCGGGGATTCCTCTGTTGTTTGGAACTAAGCTACACACCCCTCGCTCGTCTAGAGGGGACTCTACAAACCTACCCACGCTTCTGTCAAATAGAACCATTCATTCTATCCTACCTTTTGGCGGACTCCAAACACCATTTGGTAACAGTAGTCTCGCCCGTTCTCATGGTCGCGCTCCGACTCCAGAGAGATCCTCTCCCGGATCCGGTCTGCCCTAACTCCGTACGGCACCGGGTTGTCCACACAATAGGAATAGAACCAATGGAGCGAACGAAAGGACATGCCCCTCCTTTTCTCCCGCCTTATAGACCTCACGACTTTCTCGTACGTGGTTCCCTCTCCACACACCCTCCTGAAGACGTAAGAAGGAAATATAACCTGGACGCAACCCGTGGCACGCGGGTACTCCTCGTCCCGAGCACAAGTTACTCGCAAGCGAAACGGAAGGCTGTGCCGAAGAGGCACGTCCTCAAAGATCCGCCTTAGTATAGGTGCCGCGCGCACTTCCCAGTGGTCCGTCCGATACCACCCCAAGGCCCAGTGAGTGACGTACTCAACCCAAGCTTCCCGACTTAGATAGACTGTTCCCTCAACGCGAACCACCGCCTGTCGGGCCTTTCCTCCGTTCCTGGGTCTATTCGTGGTCCACTGATCCCCTTCCCAAATGCCCACGACGAACCTTGCCCAAAGAAAAAACCCCTTCTCAAGTTCCACTCCTCTCTCACGCCCCGCTAGGTACCTCTCCGTACGATGATCCAGGGGGGCACTAAAGCATTCTCGCTCCTTGAGAAGATCCGCCTTCTCGATTTGTACTTTGTCGTCTTCTGTTGCTTCTACAATCCTAACCATGCCCCTCCTGGCCTTTCACTACCTTCTTAATGATCCCCACCAATACCTTCCAACCGTCCGACCCATCCAGATATGCCTCCGGTATCACAGGGGCAGGTTGCTCCCCTCGTCGGAAGGTTCGACACCCCAACGTATAGAAATATCTAATCCCGTAGTGTCCTAAAAGCTCCCTCTCTAGCCGAGCATGGCCAACCGCTTCTTCCCAACTATTTAGGAAGGCTTCCCCTTGGTCAGCCCCTTCTTCTACGTAAAGCGCTATATCGAAATCCCCGGTCCACAGGTAAAAGTTGTAGCACCACACGCCTACACCTGCATGGCTTCCCACGCTAATGCCTACCGGCTCAAACTCCAAAACCCCTAAGTTCATAGGAGCCCCACTATCTCCTCTATGATTGTGACCAATACTCTCCACCCGTCCGACCCGTCGAGGTAAGCGTCCGGAATCACCGGCGCAGGCCGACAACCCCTAGGATAAGTCCGGTACCCTAAGGAGTAGAAGTAACTAAACCCGTATCCTCGCAGCTCCCTCCTTTCCATACGAGAGTTGTCAACCGCCTCCTCCCATCCGTGGAGGAAATTTCCCCCTGATCTCGTCCCTTCTCTACGTAGATGGCAACGTCGAAGTCCCCCGTCCACAGACGGAAGGCATAGCGCCACACGTCGACCCCACCGTAACTACTCACGCTAATCCCTTCCGGGACCGCTTCCAGGCTCATTCACCCTAATCAAGGAAATATATTTTTGTCACCTTTACTATTTGGCCACTCGAGAGACCACCCCTACCCTGCAAGAAGAAGGTGCCTGTGAGCCCAGCAAGATCAAATGGACCAGAGAAGGAGCGCCGTCTCACTCGACTACCTTCCTGTCCTCCCCCGCTGAGAGGTCCTCCCACTTCCAGGCATAAAGACTAGCTGCGAACACAGGTTATCCCTGAAGAAGGGTGGCAACCCCCCCTTCGGAGTCGGACCGCAGTCACACACCCATGCCCTATGTCCCCCACCTAACCGGCCCCTAGTCCTAAGTTAGCCTATCCGGAACCACGCCCCTACTCGGCCCACCTCGAGCGTGGAATTACCCAGGTCCCAGGACTTTATCCGCCTATCGATCAGAGATCACTAGCCTGTCTACTCCCTCCCATTCTCCTTCTCGCATCGTGAACCCTTCTCACTTCGTTCCCTTTTTCCCTTTTCGCCACCGGCTGGCTCTTTTCTCTCTTGGAATCAAAGAATTCAATCGGGGTATTCAAAGAAAGGGGTGGGGAAGCAGAGTTTTAGGAAGAGTCTCTCAGGTTAAGCAGTTACATATACGTACCTTGAGGTCCTTGATTCCTTCAAAATTCGTTTTCATAGTCCCAATAATCCCCTAGGTCCGAGTCCGAGAAATCGGCAAGGCACCGGTCCACCCAAGACCCGTCCTCCGATCCCTCGTCCAAGGCGCTCCACATATCTCTCGTCTCTTCTTCCCGAGGCAGCCCCCTATCCCCCTCGTTCACAATGGCGGTTGAGGTCTCCTCGCCCCCTTGGCCCGGAACCCGAAGCACCACTCCCCGCACCCCCAAGTCCCGAACGAC